AGCTCAGCAAGCACTGAGTTTTATGTTCGTTTTTCTCTGGTGGTGAGATTTATTCTCAAGGAGGCTGGTGTTTTTCTTTCATCAGAGATCGCTGCATGCATAGTGGAGGATTTGTGGTTTCAGGCTCGGTAGCACACGCTCCCTTTTCTCACAGCTTTTCTAAAAGTTGCTTGTGTGCCAGGAATTGATTAGGGAAATGTTCTGTGTTTTTCTCCCAATACAAGCATAGCTGCTGTCAGTGCTTTGCATATTTTTTTTAAAAAAATATTGTTAATTTTTATGATTCTTTGACCAGGTTTTTTTCACAGTGAAAATTATAATGCATAATTCTGGAGAAATCAAGGTTGGAGCCCTTGTCGAAGTGGGGTTATGGGAAGGAAACCAGCAGACTAAAAAAAAATCAGCCTGATTTTTGTGTAATTCATCATAGCTGCCCAGAATTGTCTGACTACCAATGGTGTTGCAAGCAGTTGAGATGCAGATGAACTATTTCTGCAGTGTTAGTGATAGCAATAGCAATAGCACTTAGTCTTGTGTACCACCACATAGTGCTTTACAACACTCTCTGGGTGATTTTACAATGTCAGCATATTGCCTCCATCTATCTGGGTCTTCATTTTACCCACCTCTGAAGGGTGGAAGCCCTGTCGAACTCCAGACTGTGGGCAGAGTTGGCCGGCAATACTGCATTTGAAGTACTATGCGATCTAATGGTAGCAGAAAACAGTTCTCTCAGGATTATCCAAGGTCTTGAGAGCCGGATTTACACCTGACAGGATCAGGGCAGACATGCTCCCTTGGAGTGAAAGTGTCCTCCTTTCAGCTTTCTACTCAGCTTACCTTCTCATAGAGTTTAATGCTTTCTTCTGCAGTGAGGGAATAGTGGCTCCCACTCCCACCAACTCTCCATGGAGAAGAAGACATTTATTTTTTGCATTTTTGTGTTATGTGCTTGCATATATTTGCGTGTATCTGCTCTTCAGCACACATTTGGCTGTCTAACCTTGTGCACACTGAGTTACACATGCATCTCTGTGTGTATATGTGGGTGTATTGTTGTATCAGGTCTAGGCCAAATGCATTCGTATATTTCCTACCACTCTAGTTATAGGATGAGTCAAGCAAGGATTAATTCCCATCTGGTGTTTCAAGATTGTTTCAGACATTCCTTAAACAATTATCCTGGAAATATCACAGAAGGCCCAGATAGTCCTGTTTTTTTCTGACAGGCACTCCTATATAATAAATATTAATACAAGGATGCTTGTTTTATTGCTATTTTAAATCATTCCTAACTGTATGGAATTGTATGTGTGTGTCTGGATTTGAAGCAGCAAAGGACAAAGCTGAAACTTTAATCATTTCAGCAAAGAGATATAAATGCAGCAAAGCAGCAAGTGAAAGTACTTTCATTTTTGGAAACATTATTAAAAGAAAAAATAAAAGCTCAATCTCTCTTACAGGATGTATGCTTTAAATAGCATGAAAATGTGACTCTAAAATTTTACTTCATCAGATCTTTTTCTTCTATTGTATAATTAATGGAAGACTCATTAGAGCCACTTTTACTGATTAGAACATTGTTCACTTGATCAGTAATCTTGAATTTGAGAAGCGTTGCTTTATACAGGCTTTTACATAGTTCAGACCTGGCTTGAAATGTGTGTGTGTGTGTGTGTGTGTGTGTGTGTGTGGTGTTCCAGCATAACTCTAGAACGCCTCAAGCAATTTCAACAAAACTTGGTACACAGATGACTTACTCTCTGGAAAAAAATACTGCGGGGGTAAGATACCTCTAACACCCCTTGGTGTGTGTGTTCTGTTAAGATGCAGCCTGTTGTGCCTTAAAATGACTTCTACTGTACAGCGAGGTGGAATTGCCATGGTAACGGCATCGCAATACCCCACAAAGGGGCTTCTTCTGGTAAGGGGGAAAATCCAATGTTAGAAATTATGTTTGGTCCAGACATTTTCTCCTATAAATAAATACCCGGACAACACCGGGTTATCAGCTCATTTAAGATATAATACCAAATGTCAAAAAGCATTTCCTGTGTCCATGTTTGCCTCTGTTGTGGCATACAGTTAAACAAGAGCTATTTTCAAGATAGGTACATCTCTAAATGTATCCCAGCTTTTCCACTGAAAGCAGTATATTGTAAGTTCTGCCATTGTTGAAGGCACTGGGGAATCTGGTAAGGAAATATCTCAGAAATTATGATCCAATGGGGCACTGGTTATCTAGTAGTGTATATGTCCCTGTGCAACAAATGTTTACAACCACAATGTCATCAAAATGACAGTACAAGCCTCATGTAATTGAGCAAATAAAATGATTACTGGTATATAATTGTATCATGACCTCTGATGCACCATAGGGCAATTTAGAAGAGGATGGACATTGTCATTTGCCCACTCCTTCACTCAAAATGCACAATGTAGATGTTCCAGTACTCTGATGGTCATGAACACAATTGGAGGATGATGAGCTTGCCCATTCCCATGTTTCTAGGTGCATTTATAACATACACACTACCACCACCATTATCAATTGGAATAAAGGAATAGTTGCAGATTGAAGAAAAAGTAGAATTGCGGGTATAAGCTAATGTGTCATTATGTTCAGTCATTAGTCAAGAGCATATATGATAAGGGAAGGAATCTGCTGTTGCAATATACTTCTTCATCATCACTGTATACTAATTGAATATCAATAACACCCCCTCTAGATCTGCATTGACTTGAGTGTTTGTTACTAAATTATTTGCATCTAGTTTTCTATAGTAGTAATCTCCTTGAGAGCAAAGATATATAGTATGTATGTATCAGTGGTGGGATATGACCGGTACCGGTGCCTGCCGGGACCATCAGGTACTGTTCTGGTACAGTGCTCTAGAGGGCCCACCCACCCTCCTCACCTGTATTTGAGCCGATCGGGTTTATGCACACGGAGCGTACGGCGCCTGTGTGATGCTCCGCTGAGCAGCTGTAGTGTCGCAGAGCATTGTGGGTGGTAAGTACGCAGGTGCGAGCTGCATGCATGCTGCGCTCATGCATGTGGTGGACCCCTGGCCCCATTGCATTGTACCGGTTACAATGGGATCTGGAACCCACTACTGGTATGGATGGATGGTTGGATGGATGGTTGGATGGAAGGATGGATGTGGTGGCTCAGTGACTAAGGTGCTAAGCTTGTAAATCAGAAAGGTTGTCAGTTTGGCAGTTCAAATCCCTAGCGCTACATAACAGAGTGAGTTCCCTTTACCTGCCCCAGCTTCTGCCTACCTAGCAGTTTGAAAGTATGTAAAAATGCAGGTAGTAAAATAGGAACTACCTTTGGTGAGAAGGCAACATCGTTCCGTGGGCCCTTGGCATTGAGTCATGCCAGCCACATGACCATGGAGATGTCTTCGGAGAGTTCTGGATCTTCGGCTTTGAAACAGAGATGAGCACTGTGCTCTAGAGTCAGGAATGACTAGCACAGGGAACCTTGGGAAGGGAACCATTCATTTTACTGTATGTATGTATGTATGTATGTATGTATGTATGTATGTATGTATGTATGTATGTATATTTTTGTGTCTGTGCGTATTCTACCTACCTACCTGCTTATCTATCCATCTATCGATACCTTCCTAATAGTTATTAAGTGCTTATACAGTGTAAAATAATTTAGCTTCTGTATTATCTGTTTTAGGTTAATTGCATTCCTTTTATTTTACTTATAACTATTAAAAATAAGGAAATCACTGGAATTGTCAAGCCTATCCATTGGAAGGAACAAGTTTCTGGAAACCTTCTTAATCCTTTTCATTTTTGGAATGCAAAGGTTTCCCCCCACCTTCTCTCTTGAGATCTGATACCATTGAACAGAATTGCTTAATTTCACTTTCTAAACAATAGCACCATCTAGGCAGCCATGACCCACAGTTAATTTTGCACAATAACTAACAGGTCACACCCTTATTTAAAAGAAACCCCAATGCAATCTCATCAATATGATAAAATTTCAGAAATGGTTTTTTCCTTATTATTCATAACTATTACTCAGAACAGCCTTTTCCAATTTCGTGACCTCTAGATGTGTTGTGTTACAATTCCCCAATATTCTGCTCTGACCTAGGCTTCCTGAGAAATCATAAACCACAATCTTAGTACCCCAAACCCTATTTTATTTATACAGATGGAAATTATGGTCATTCCCAGTCTGCAAGGGTTCACAAAGTCCGTGAAGCTTCCGACAGATGTCTGCTCGAGTTGCCACAGTCTTTCAGAGGAATGTTGATAAACAGCCACCTTATCTCCCTTGGGATGCTGCAGAGATCTAATTTCCAAATGCAGAACAAGGCCAAATTTAGCACAGAGTCAAACAGAAATTTTCAAAGCTTGAACCAACCAGTTGAACTAATTACTTCCTGCAAAAGCTCACATCCCATTTGCTCCTCTTTTATGTCTTATGGGAGGGGCCAATCATCTCCAAGCCTTACTCCTAAGTCGACCCTGTTTTCTTAATTGTTCTTGCCTTCTGGCAGCTCTGCGCATGCTCACTGGGAACAGGCTCCTGCTGTTCTTCAGTTTCGCTGATGTCACTCTGGAGGCTCCGGAGGCAGCAAATAACAACCAGATGGCCATGGTCCCCTCTCTGCCTCTGGTGCAGAGCTCTTGGCTGAGCCTTCCCCAGACTCCAGGACTGGCCCATGTTCCTCCCCAACCTCCTCACTGTCCAAATCTGCTGTCAGCTCTGCAGGCTGCTGGTGGACCACAACGTATTCCTTTCTCTCTGGAAATGATAAGACTGCTTGAAAAGCACCTCTGAAAATACACAAAATAAAGCATTACAATTGCTTTATTTTATCTGCACTGCTTTGCACAGAAAGGTTTATAAATATACATGATGGTGAATAAGGAGGAGGAAGGAGTATGGTATATGTTCACTGTGAGTTATTTATAATAAATGAGTAAAAAATCAACTTTTTTTTCTTTTTTGCGTTTTATTGCAGAAAGTGAGTGAAAAAGTTGGTGGAGCGGAAGGAACTAAGCTAGATGAAGACTTCAAAGAAATGGAAAGGGTGAGTCTGGAAGTTAATTGCTCTTGTATCACTTACTGCGGCATTCCCCAAATGCATTTTTATATATTTTGTCAAAGAACATCACAGTTGGATGTTATGTTTTCCTAGGTTGCTTATCTATAGTTAGACAACATAATTAGCATAACTGGTACTATTTAGATCAGATTAATTCTAGCATCTAGAGCAGAGGTGTCAAACTCAAGGCCTGGGGGCCGGATCCAGCCCAGGGGGTGCTTAGAACTGGCTTGCGGGGCTGCCCTGGAAACAACGAAGGATCGGCCTGCAGTGCTTCTGCCAGCAAAAACAGGCTCCCAAGCTCCATTTTTGGCTGCGACAGCCTCCTGCAACCCTCTGCCAGTGAAAACAGGCCCAAGCTCCGTTTTCACTGGCACAGGATTGCAGGAGGTTGTCGCAACTGAAAACTGAGCTTGGGAGCCCATTTTTGCTGGCAGAGTGCTCAGGCCACCACAAGAGTCCATGACCCAAGTGATGCTGAACTGGTCATGCCAACCTCAGCGCCCCAAGGTCAAACACAACCCTGATGCAGCCCTCAATGAAATTGAGTTTGACTCGCCTGATCTAGAGTGAAGTTTTATCAACTTCTTACTATTCGGGCCTCATCCCTCAATTCCCATGCTGCTACATTTTGGAAGTTACAGTCCCACTATATTAGGTAGGAGAAGGTTGGTTTAAAGGTTCAAGAGATGATTGGGAAAGGAGCATCCAGACTTGCCAGAAGAATTGCCCATACTTCTTATCTACGTGACAACCTACTTTAAATAAAATGGTGGGTTGTCAAGTGGCTCTTGCACTGATAGGAGGAAATTATTGGGTACATCATGTTCTAATAAACTGTGCCAAACTTTAGGGGAGAGGCAAAGCAATGATTCAAGGAATACTTCCTCCAAGAAGGGAATTGCAATGCCAGGTGCATAGCAAATTGTAAGATGGAAGAATCCTGTTACCATTCTCCTTGAAAAATATACCTTATTCTAAATAAAAGGTTTGATTGTTCTTAGTGATTTTCAGGAGGATGTCTGTTCTCCTATCTTGCAATGAAGACTTGGAAAACAACAGTCCACAAAAACAATAGGCTGGCAAGATAGGGAGGTGGGGGTGAATCAGAGGTGGTATTCAGCCAGTTCTGACAGGTTCTGGAGAACTGGTAGTGGAAATTTTGAGTAGTTTGGAGAACTGGCAAATGCCACCTCTGGCTGGCTCCACCCACATCTATTTGCTGCATCCCAAGTCCCAGCTGATCTGTGTCCCAGGTGGGTCTTTGTCACTGCCCCTTCATTTAATAACCAAGAAAGAGACCACTCAAGCCCATATTTCAGGATTAAGTGTACTTATACTGGTTAAAAACAAAAAGAAACAAAGCAAAGCTGAATCTGAATAAAAAGGCACAAAAGCAATAGATATCAATACAAGATTCAATCCCCTCCCCTTGGTACCCCAGTCTCAGGGGTGGGTTTCAACCGGTTCGCGGCGGTCCCTGCGAACCGGTTGGTCGGCGAACCCGGAAGTAAGTAACTTCCGGGAACGGCGACGGGCCCACCTGCCCGCCCACGCTCCTTACCCAGTTTTGGCGAGTTCTGCACTTCCATGCATGCGCAGGACGCATAAAGCGCCTGCACGATCCTCCAGGAGCAGCTGGAGCATCACACAGACGCTAGTACACATGCGTGA